TATAGTAGGTGCAAAGCAATTATATAGCCTGATTGTCAATATATGAATAGTAGTATATGAAATTAAATAATGTGATTAAATTGGTTAGAAAATTCAAGGTGTAGTTGGGAGATTGTTAGGTAACAATTTAATGTTTTTGGCCTAAATTTTGTGCATTGGTCAATTATACGTCAACTGTTCATGCATGCATACACTACAGACTGACAAACATACACAGTACAGAGATCGATTTATGGATTTTGAAACAAAAAGGACATAATATAATAAGATTAATTCATCACGCCAATCTAATTTTTATTCTCTCCTTATTATATTGTTTAATTTCTACAAGTTATTGTGGGAGACGGGTCGATTAATTCATAGTGTATTTTTTTAACAAAAAATACATATTTATTTTATAAAATAGTGCTCCTATATTTTTGTTTTAGTTTAAAATTTTATATATATATGTACGTAATATAAATGTGTTTAACCATTAATCATTAACTAGTACGAATCCCGTACGATGCACGGACAAGAAATATTCAATAATATTTATAATTTAAAAAATATCATTGTTGTTATGGGATTCTTAACAACGATGTAATTTATGATTAAGTGGATAATTTGGAATGATTTGGACGTAAAGCATGTAAGATTGAATCAACAATGGCCCCGGTCCGAGGTGAACCGAGGTGAAGAGCCGTGATGGGCTTTTACGTGTTGCTTAGTAAAGTGTTTACAGTTCGGAGAATTCAGAGAAAGTCCGATCCCCTTACAATTGTCATAGGTCCGCTATTTATAGTAGTTTCGGGTTAATACATTGGGATCTGTGCATGACTTTTTCGAATAAAGCTACTTTTTGTGGGCGGTTCGAGGCGGGGGTCCCACATAAATGATGACGGATCTTGTGGAGCTGGAGGGCTAGACGTAGGCGCCTTGTCACCTGCTTGGGGAGGTGACGACCTCGGTTCATGTTGACCTCGGTGGATGTTGACCACTTCGGTCTTCGGTAGTTCGGTCCGGTCTGTCGCCTGAACCGGGGTGTATGTAACAACGTCGGTTCAACGATCATCTTCCTTCTAATGTGTTGTCTAGAATTCCATAATGCATGTTTACCGATCCGGATGTTAACAATCATTAAATAATATTTATAAATTAAAAGTTTGGAATCAATATTTAATACAATGTACCTATATTAATTTATTGAAATATTATATAAAATCTATATTGTGCAAAATTATTGATAATTAT